AAATTGTCTGTCACAATTACTTCCTCTTTTGTTTGACAGTCATCATTCATAAACTTATCAATAGCTGATTTAAACCAATGGTTTCTTTGTTCAAACAGTGCCATTTACAACAAATAAGCAGCCTCCTTCTCCCAGTGACAATAGTACAGATATGTAAGAATAGAAAAGGAGAAAGGGTGGCGCTAATAGAAAAATGTGCTACTAATATAGCATGCAGCAAAAACACCTTAGTGTATAGTCACTACATACACTTACATATGCAAATGAAAAAACAGGAGAAGGTGATTGCGCAGGTAGTTTATAAGTCCACAAATTTGTGGTACATCCCTAGGTTCTGTAAAAATAGAACACCAACATAGGGTAATATGTCAAACATATAATATTCAATTGAGAAGCTTGGAAAAACTCACAATTTACTGAGCATTTATAAGTTTGCTCTAAACTATATAGCTGGAGTGAATCATTCAGATGTACATGGATCCAATGTATAGGTCCCCCAGGAGGTGTTTGCAGTCCTCAAGCAGGTAAATCAGGAACCAGGTAACCAGGTACAAGTAGAAAATAAATTTATTATAATAAAACACAATAAAAAGCACAACGCGTTTCGACCCAACAAAGAGGGTCTTCCTCAGGTGCAGGTATAAGTTACAATGGGAGATATTCACAATTTATAAGGCAAACAATTAACAATCAATTACAGGTGTGTAAACAATAAGTCCCTCCCCTTAGTAGTATACAGGTGATGTTCCAGCCTCTTTCCGCCACTTCCAACATGTCAGCCAATTGTGGAATCCTATAGTGTTCATTGTGACCTTCCCAACATGGCCGCCATACACGGCCAGCTTGTGTTCGTCACTTCCGGTTTGTCCGGGTTCCGGTTATGTCACTTCCGGTTTCGTCATTACTGTGTGATTATCCAGCGATCTTTTAATGATGTTAGCACATCCCCCAATAGGGGTGGAGTATACCATCAGTCCAAGAATCGGCCATATTTTAAATGGGAAAACGGAGAGATAATAATAAAAGATTATATTACACAAATAGATCAGGAATCATAAGTAAAGGATTAAGAGCAGCAATTAGAACTTGTCTTTCAAATATATAGAAACAAAATCTCATCATATAAAAAAGTATAAAAAATAGTAAAAACTGACAGTTTTTAAAACATTAAAAGTATTTATAATACTGTGTATACTGCCCAAACATAGAATGCTTGAATGATATAGATAAAGTAGGCAATCTAGATAGACCCCAATTGTTAAATCATAAAAAGAGAGATCAAACTTTACCAACCAAACAAATTCCGTTGATCTTCGATTTTTGTAGTAATATAGGATCATTAAAGAAGATTATAAACAAAAATTGGAATATTTTGAAACAAGATCAGGACATTCAGGAGTATATTGGTGAAAATCCCAAGTTTATCTTCAGAGGGGCAAAAAATTTCAAACAGATCTTAACTTCAAACTATGTGGAGAAACAGGAAGTGGATAAAAATAATTTTTTAAGTAATTGGTCTAAAACAACTAAAGGTTTTTACCACTGTGGCAACTGCCATGCCTGCAAGAATACGAAATTAGACTCTAAAAAGAAAGATAATTTTACATCACATATAACCAATAATAAATATAATATTAATTCTTTTATTACATGCGAGTCTAAAAACGTTATATATTTATTACAGTGCACTTGTGGTCTACAATACATAGGGAAGACCTCAAGACCCCTTAAAACTAGGTTGTATGAACATGTTAGAAATATAAGGAATGGTTTTGTTAACCACAGTGTGTCAAATCACTTCTTAATTAAACATAACTCAAATCCTAAAGAATTGGAATTCATGGCAATACAGCAAGTCCAAACTCATTGGAGGGGAGGAAATATTATATTTAATTTAAGTAAGAAAGAATCCAATTGGATTTTTGAGTTACAAACCTTATGTCCTAAAGGACTAAATATAGATTTCGAAATTGGTTCTATTTTGTAAAATGACTACACTTTTAATTAAGTCCAATTGGAAAATTTTTAATTGGTTCTTAACACATTTTGCAAGCATTCTATGTTTGGGCAGTATACACAGTATTATAAATACTTTTAATGTTTTAAAAACTGTCATTTTTTACTATTTTTTATATTTTTTTATATGATGAGATTTTGTTTCTATATATTTGAAAGACAAGTTCTAATTGCTGCTCTTAATCCTTTACTTATGATTCCTGATCTATTTGTGTAATATAATCTTTTATTATTATCTCTCCGTTTTCCCATTTAAAATATGGCCGATTCTTGGACTGATGGTATACTCCACCCCTATTGGGGGATGTGCTAACATCATTAAAAGATCGCTGGATAATCACACAGTAATGACGAAACCGGAAGTGACATAACCGGAACCCGGACAAATCGGAAGTGACGAACACAAGCTGGCCGTGTATGGCGGCCATGTTGGGAAGGTCACAATGAACACTATAGGATTCCACAATTGGCTGACATGTTGGAAGTGGCGGAAAGAGGCTGGAACATCACCTGTATACTACTAAGGGGAGGGACTTATTGTTTACACACCTGTAATTGATTGTTAATTGTTTGCCTTATAAATTGTGAATATCTCCCATTGTAACTTATACCTGCACCTGAGGAAGACCCTCTTTGTTGGGTCGAAACGCGTTGTGCTTTTTATTGTGTTTTATTATAATAAATTTATTTTCTACTTGTACCTGGTTACCTGGTTCCTGATTTACCTGCTTGAGGACTGCAAACACCTCCTGGGGGACCTATACATTGGATCCATGTACATCTGAATGATTCACTCCAGCTATATAGTTTAGAGCAAACTTATAAATGCTCAGTAAATTGTGAGTTTTTCCAAGCTTCTCAATTGAATATTATATGTTTGACATATTACCCTATGTTGGTGTTCTATTTTTACAGAACCTAGGGATGTACCACAAATTTGTGGACTTATAAACTACCTGCGCAATCACCTTCTCCTGTTTTTTCATTTGCATATGTAAGTGTATGTAGTGACTATACACTAAGGTGTTTTTGCTGCATGCTATATTAGTAGCACATTTTTCTATTAGCGCCACCCTTTCTCCTTTTCTATTCTTACTTATGTTTGGTTGTGTTACTTTTTCACTTTGGTTCATTACATTCGGCTTATGTTTGACTACCCTACATTGTTACTTTGGTTCACTACATTTGACCTATGTTTGGCCAGGCTACATTTTCGATTTGGGTTTGTCTAATCTGTTACGTTTGGACAAGCTTTTATTACTTTATTTTCAGTCTCTAGCCATGCTACTTGTCAGGCATTTACTTATCATTTTTGTTTTGTCATTAGTTAAGTCCAGGACTACAGGTAAGCTTTGTATGTTTTAAAGGTCATAAGCACCTCCATACCCTTTTACTCCGTTGCTTTAATGTGATATGTATCTGTGCAATAGGGTGTTTTGTGGCTGAGGTACTTGATGGTTTATTGAGGCTTCCTGAATGGTACTTTCTGGTTTTGTTAAAATTAATTCATACAGACATCAGGCTTGGATGTGTTTTGTTCTTAGCTACCTGGTACTAAAACTAGGGATCAACCGATATTGATTTTTTAGAGCCAATGCCGATAATCTGTGAACTTTCAGGCCGATAGCTGGTAACTTACCGATATTCTGTACATTTACCATTTTTAATAAAATAAACTATTTCTAAAGGTAAATGCACAAAATATAAACGTCACATGTAGTGGATTCAGTGGGTTTAGACGGGGGCTTTGTGTGTTTGTGTAGTGGATGCAGTGTGTATTTGTGTAGTGTTTGTGTAGTGTGTGTAGTGTGTGTGTAGTGGATGCAGTGTGTGTGTAGTGGATGCAGTGGGTGTAGTGTGTGTGTGTAGTGGGTGTAGTGTGTGTGTGTAGTGTGTGTGTAGTGGATGCAGTGTGTATTTGTGTAGTGTGTGTGTGTAGTGGATGCAGTGAGTGTTTAGTGAATGTAGTGTGTGTGTGTTTATGTATGTATGTATGTAATTTGTGTAAAATGAGGGGGGAGGGAAGGTATCTTCAATTAGATTTTTATTTTTTAATATTAAATATTTTTCTTTTTTATTGCCCCCCCTCCCTGCTTGTTACCTGGCCAAGGAGGGGGGCTATGGCACTCCTTGGTGGTCCGGTAGCATGGACTGTGCAGTAGGGGCCCAGCAAGCTCTTACTTACCTTCCCAGCTGCTCCCTTCAGCTCCCCTGTCTACCTCTCACAGCCTGTGCGCCACGGTAACCTGTGGCAACGCTCTTGACTGC